CTCTATAGGAGAGGAGGAAGGGGAGAGAGCAGTTCATCATAATGATAATTCAAATGAAGAACCCCTTAGTGATGATAGTGCTGATGACTTATGAGTTCTTATGTGATATGTCATTGCTATTTATTTTTGGAAATTTGAATTATATGTTAATGAAAAGAATACTGGGATTTGGAAAAGATAAAATTTTGAGTTGAACTATATTTCATGTTGTCTTATTATTGGGATATTTTGATTTCACTTCATATTTTATGTTTTTTTATGTTTTATATTATTCACTCATTAGTATATAAAAAATTTATCATTTTATGTTTACGCAATCTTTTGATTTTGAGGCTTACGCCTCAAAACGCCTTGAGGCTTACGCCTTGCCTTACGAATGAAAAACGCCTCAATACCCGAATACGCAATTTTAAACATTGGAATCAACTGTTCTGATTTATAATTAATAATAAACTAATTATAATTAATTATATTTAATTTAAAATTAACTATAAATCACTAATTAATTATAATTATTTATATTTAATTATAATTAATCATACTATAATTATAATTATAACAGAATTTGAGCAAAAAATCTAGAAAATAGGATTTATGTAGAATTTGAAAAGTATTAAAATCTCCAACAAGTTAAATCCTCGGTTTCTCTTTGTTTGTCGTCTAAACAGGATTTAGGGAAGAGCTAGATCTCACGACCAGTTAAATCCTTCCTTTTCCTTATTTTTGCTTCAGTGGATTAATGGGTCTCAGCCGAAGAAGCATGCGAATGGGAGAAGTTACCTTCACAACCAACGAACTCCCTTTTGTTGCTTCCGATCATCGATTAAAAAGGCGTTCGAGGCGGAAGCCTCGAGGCGCGCCTCGAATCGAGGCGGAGGTCGGGCGAACTAAGGCTTAAGCCTCGAACGTTCGGGCGAGGCTTACGCCTTTTTCATGGAGGCGTACGCCTCACCGCGTGAGGCGTCGAGGCGCATCGAGGCAGCGCCTCGAAAGCGAGAAAGTTACCTTCACAGTCAGCGAGCTCCCGTTGTTTCTCCCGATCAAAATGTTGTAGCTTACGATCCGACAGGAAAGGGAAAGTCGTCGAAGGAGCCAAAGAAGCGACGCGTCCAATCTCTACACCTCCTGTGAAGCAACGAAGCCAAATAGCAAGGACGAAAAGAGAAGATGAAAGGCAAACCGTAGACGCAGCTAAGTTATTATTGATTAACTTAGTTAATATAATTTAAAATATTAATTATTAAACAAATTAATTAAATAATTAATAATATAATTAGTGCATGAATTAATTATCTATTTTAACTTAATTTAATAATTAGTATTATTAATTAAATTTTAATATAATTAGCCTAATTAATATAAATTACATGTAAATTACGCGGTATGCTCGGTACTGAGCGGTACATGCTCGGTACTGAGCGGTACATGCTCGGTACTCTCGGTATTGAGCATATACAACAAGCAGAATTTCAAAATTACTCTTATAATATAATTTTGTTCTGGGGGCGCTGCCCCCGGAAACCCCCGCATCTCTCTCTCTCTCTCTCTCTCTCTCTCTCTTTGTGGACCGAATAAATCGTGAGGCTTGTGCTTGCGAACAAGGCAGAGGCGGAGAGATGGGGGTAGTTCGGGTCAGTTAGGTAGAGGGCTTGACGGCTTTGAGGGGGTTGGAGTTCGGTTCAGCCGGTTGTGGAGGTCGAAGAGTTTCAATCGGTAGGGAGGTTTTCAAGTTCGGAAGAGCAAGGGAGTCGAGTGGGGTTCGGAAGCAACGACGGGAGTTCGTTGCTTGCGTGAAGTGGGAAGAAGGGAGAAAACAACGAAGCAGGGGTTCGCTCATTTTAAAGACGTGACTGGAGCGAGATCGATGCAAGTCGCAGGATTTGCGGAGTTGACGTAAACGGAGCCAACTTGCAGGATTTCTGCAAGATTTGTGTAGTCGAAAAATCAACACTATCAAAAGCCCGCTAATGTATCAAAGTGCACATATTCATCCTACTATCAAAAGCCAGCTACTCTCTCTCTCTCTCTCTCTCTCTCTCTCTCTCTCTCTCTTTGTGGACCGAATGAATCGGGAGGCTTGTGCTTGCGAACAAGGCAGAGGCGGAGAGATGGGGATAGTTCGGGTCGGTTAGGTAGACTGCTCTATGGCTTTGAGGGGGTTGGAGTTTGGTTCGGCCGTCGTGGAGGTCGAAGAGTTTCAATCGGTAGGGAGGTTTTCAAGTTCGGAAGAGCAAGGGAGTCGAGTAGGGTTCGGAAGCAACGACGGGAGTTCGTTGCTTGCGTGAAGTGGGAAGAAGGGAGAAAACAACGAAGCAGGGGTTCGCTCTCATTTTAAAGACGCGACTGGAGCGAGATCGATGCAAGTCGCAGGATTTGCGGAGTTGACGTAAACGGAGCCAACTTGCATGATTTCTGCAAGATTCGCGTAGTCGAAAAATCAACATTATCAAAAGCCCGCTAATGTATCAAAGTGCAAATATTCATCCTACTATCAAAAGCCCGCTACTCTCTCTCTCTCTCTCTCTCTCTCTCTCTCTCTCTCTCACTCACTCTATCTCTCTCTTTCTCTCTCTGTCTCTGTGGACCGTATGAATCGAGAGGCTTGTGCTTGCAAACAAGGTAGAGGCGGAGAGATGGGGGTAGTTCGGGTCGGTTAGGTAAAGGGTTTGACGGCTTTGAGGGGGTTGGAGTTTGGTTCAGCCGGTTGTGGAGGTCGAAGAGTTTCAATCGGTAGGGATGTTCTCAAGTTTGGAAGAGCAAGGGAGTCGAGTGGAGTTCGGAAGCAACGATGGGAGTTCGTTGCTTGCGTGAAGTGGGAAGAAGGGAGAAAACAATGAAGCAGGGGTTCACTCTCATTTTAAAGATGCGACTGGAGCGAGATCGATGCAAGTCGCAAGATTTGCGGAGTTGACGTAAACGACGCCGACTTGCAAGATTTCTGCAAGATTTGCGTAGTCGACTTCAGCCTCTAAAGATAATGATTTCAACATTTTTTTTTTTTACAGAGGTCAACACATCTATATTCCATTATACCTGCTTTCTTTAGTGTGGAAAATCAAGCTTCAATTACGTAAGTTTAAAAAATCAATACTATCAAAAGCCCGCTAATGTATCAAAGTGCACATATTCATCCTACTATCCATTCAATGAATTCATCAATTGTATGTTTATCAAAATGGAGATTAACATCTCAAGCGCAAATTTTGGTGTTTGGGAATAATCATGTTAACCATATAGCTTAGAGCCGCATTACAGAGTTCTGATAATCACAAACTTAATTTGGTTAAGATGATTTTGGGCTAACTCATTTTTGCACAGAGCTTAGTACCAACAACTGCAGACATACACTGGAGAATTAAGATGCAGGTATTATAAATAATTATAAAACTTATACGACTCAGAAGAAGACTATAGCTCAAGAAGAAAATGACAAGCTCAAAATTCACTAGGTCAATGTTTCATGACAAGCCAGAGTCAATTCGAATAAAGAGTTGCATAAGTCAAATTTTGAAAATATATCATATTATTTGAGTCATATTTCAAATAAAAAAATTGATGAAATAACTAGCACACACATAAATAAATTTAATAAAAATTATTTTAAAATTTAATTAATGCATATGCTCATAACATATTGCAATATGTAATGTTAATCGCACTATACAACATGCTCTAAATTCGGTGAATCCAATAATATCAATTTACATTACTTAAGGGCTTTTTTAAAATTGTATTATATGATGCCTTTTGTATAGTACAGTTAAAGTTAAATTTAAATTAAAATCATCAAATATCTTTTTTTAATTATATTAATTCAAAATTTGAAATGTTCATATTGTACAATATCTAATGTTTTGTATTACTGGTTTCTTAATTTAATCTAATCAAGCAGTAAGAACTAAAGGACAAATTGATACACATCAGGCTTAACTAATCGAGCTGTACAATCTTAATCGAACCAGACGACCGATTAGAACTCAATTTGCATAATACAAATAAGTTTGTATTGATTATACTATACAATGTTACATTATACAGTACAATCTCCTTGATTTTTCCTCTCATCTTATTTATAGGGTTTGATTTTAAAGCAATACAAATACCTTCTAAAAATCCTAAGATAGGGGGGAGGCAAAAAAATTTAAGAGAAAGAAAGAAAAGAAGTTTGCTTTTGCGAGAGATCTTTTGCCTTGTTTTGTGAATTCTAAAAGAAGAGATCCTATTATTAGAAGTGCACTACTTGGTTGTTTCTCCTCTATTCTACCACCATGCTACTCCAATGATTTTTGCGGCTTATCAAGAGCTTTTGTATTGTGATAGTAAGGGATTCTTGATATCACAAAAAGCTCTTTGTGCTTTGATTGACTAGCGGGTGGGCTAAAGTAGCAACTTTCTCGCTGAATAGAAGAGGATGCAGGGTTTTTCATTACCCGTTAAGGAGGGAGGTTTCACTGCCTTACATTTGCAAAATGAATGGTTAGTAGAATTCTCGAGAAGATGCCTTGAGGAGTGGATGTAGGGCAGTCTGGGCTGAACCATTTTAAATTGGTTTATGCACCATCTTATCTTACTTTTATCTACTTTCACCATTTCTTTTGGCTACTTGCTTATTTCCGTTTAATCATGTTCAATGGATGTATTAGTGAATATTGATGATTACATATTTTGCATAGATCTCTAGTTTACACTCAAACTGTGATAATCTTATTATGGGTTCTTGCAAAATAACCTATAAGAAATTTATGAGTCTGCATTCTTAAATTTATTTCACTAGTTATATCTTGATTTGCAATCTTTTAAGAATGAAAAAAGATATATATATATATATATATATATATTCTCAGTTGAATTTTTCTATTTATTTTTAAGTTATTTGGAAATGAGGCTTGACTTAGCTTAAAACAGTGAGGTAATATTGAAGATCTTTAATTAGACATGAGAATAAAACGAAGTGCAGCACTAAAAGGTTAAAGACAATGCTGGAGCAGAAAGCAGCTAACCTTGTAATATCCATGACTGAATGAACGTTCGGCTATATTGCTGATACCGCTCGAGGCATACCTCATCTAATCTCCTTTTTCTGAAATGGAATAAATCAGCTAAAGTAAGAAGCAATATTAAACAAAAAAGAACATCACTGTCTATCACGGCTTCCAGATCAGTCTTTCTCTCATGAAAAAGAAACTATAGAAGAACTGAATAGAAAGAAAAAGGAAGATGAAGGTAATATGACAAAAGTGTAATGTAAAAGACTCATGAAAACTAGATAAAGATCAACATGTAGCACTTTTTATGGGAATGAATAATGCAAAAGGATTCACAAAGCTGCCTCCGATATATGGGATAAGGCAGATAATCTTTTGATAACCTAACAAGAAGAATACATTGCCTATAATTTTCAAAACAAGCTAACAATGTAGACTTAAACGATAATGTGGCAAGTAAAAAAAAGAACTCAAAGAATAATTATACACTAGCATTTAGCATTAGGCTAGTCAGAACATCATCTAAACCTTCATTGAGATGCTTCTTGATCCCACAAATACATGCAAACAATTACTTAGCCTCTGTCTGCTTTTAAGGAATTCAAGGAGAGGAAATGTAAAAAAGTAAAAAATGAAAATAAAAATGGTGAGGGAATTGAATTGGCGTTATCTTTCACCCACTTATTTTGGTTGACGAGAAACTGAATGAAGGACAAAAAAAGTTTCTTGTTTGGTTGATAAGAAATTAAGTTTTTATTTGTCAAGAGGAGATAACATGTGAGTCATGACCATGATCCTATAATTTTTTTTCTCATTTTGAACTAGGTTAGATAGGCAATTGTTAGTGGAAAAATGAATTTGTTTGTTTTTCTTTGGTAAATCTAGTTACCTATTAGTTACATTGGAAGCAAGCACCCAAAAAAATTATAAAGTTACACGCATTTGTATTCCCTCTAATTCCATTAAATCAAACAACCTCTTTTTTTTATCGGGGCTAATTAAACTTGGCTCCAATGTAAATAGTAAATATTATACGGAACTCCCATATGTATTTTGAAACTACAACTGCTTCACCAATGGTTAAATATTAAAATGTTAATCTCAATCCATTCTTTTGAAATTACACATACATGACCTAATGTTATATATTATAGTACATGTTAAACCGAGTTCATTAACTAAAAGTATCACAAATGGAATGAAAGTGTAATTTTAGAAAACACATAAGAGAAGTGTGTAATACTGATAGGAATTAATTATAGTTAGCCCATCTTGTTATCATCTATAATACAAAAAAATAAATAAAACAATAGATGATAATGCCCAAAGCCTTGCAACATTAATAAAAGGATGCACTTCAAACCTTAAAAATTTTAATAAAAATAGTCAGAAAAAAGAAACTTACTTTTTCTGAAGTTGAACTCTCACATGCTTCACAGTCGCAAAGGTCCTGTTAGGACATGAACACGACCTTCCACTAACCAATGCCACTGAAAAGCAAAATTTCAAAACAAACAATAAAAAATGGAAAGTGCATAATTAAGCCATCAAATGGCATCAGTTTTATGATTATATGTAAAGAACTAAGAGCAACATTCTTTGCTAAAAAAAACAACTATTTTCATTTAAATATAGAAGCAAAACATGTAACTGAGATGATCCTGACAACTAATAAATAGCCTAAAAAGTTGTATAGATCTTCTAAATTAAAGCCTTCTGAAAATATTAAAAATTAATAGCATAGATAGAAATGAATTTGAATTGGTTTATAAGTTAGTAGTTAATGTAGTTCTACTATTTGTATTAGGTAGAGTTGGTTATGTTAGGGTAAATGAGTAGCAAAATGTGCCCTATAAATACTTAGATGCTCTTCATTTGAGAGTATTTGTGAGAATGAAGAAATGAACTAGTTTCAAGCCCTACGATTTCTTCTTAACCCTTCCCAATTTCCCATTTTATGGAGTTTCCAACACTCTTGAATCGTTGTTTATCCTCTCTTTCCTCCTCCCTATATTCCAGTGATCAAAGCAATAGGTTCACATAAATTGGTGCTCCCGTTGAGTCTCAATGCCGCCAAGTGCTACACTATCATACCTGTCCAAATTCAATGCTCGATTTTCCCCAAAACAATATCCAAATTAACCTCTTCTCCATTGCAAACAATACCTGATCCTCCCACCATCCAAATCCATATTCCTAGCCTCACCACATCTCATGCCATTATCAAGTCAATCCTTCAAGATCTGTCAAAGTCATTTACCAATTCGCCATGGACCTTATCAAGCTTCTCGCTATCTCCACACCACGCCAAAACCATCCCAAAGCCATTGCACATAGATTCCTCGCCTCTTCCAATGTCGCTACCAGATTTCACCACAACAGAAGCCATCGATTCCAATTCCTAATTGCACTATCCAATGGCAACCAGAACTTGCGATGATATTGCTTCCCTAGATAGCCAACCACAACTATGCCTCCCCCACCAAGACATGCTATCCACAATCATATCCTCAAAACAATGAGGTATCACACCTCAGCGCATCATAAACTCTACCCGTCACAATCCAAGATACCACGACAATCTAGGTATAGTTCATGCGTTATGATAATCCCATATCTTGTTGTCACCAACTTCACTCAAGCTTTTGGATGCACGAATAGTAGCCAAATGCAATTTTCCCTTATTGCCTGTAGTCTTATGTCATCAGCCTCCATTCAGACCCTCACCTCAATGCAGCAGATTCATCACTTCTTATTGATCACTCAATTTCCTACATATGGGAAACAAGAAAACACAAAACAAATTTTATTCCTTGGATCCACAATATCTTCCGCATCCTCTACCCTTTTCTTCAATTAATCTAGCACTAGCCGATCCTCATGGAGAACAATATCGATTTGGATGAGGAATGTTGGGCAATACTTAATAATCAGGAAGGCAAAACAATGTCTCTATTTGCTATTGTGAAAGATATTAGATTTCTACTAACAGAACTTGAACAATACATAAAACAAAATGATCAAAATGAATAATCAGAAGCACCAACATATCCTTCAAATATGATTTCGCCTTCCACCAAAAATTTGTCCACTCCCAGTATCGCTCAGTCCAAGCAAACAAATTACATGATACAACATATCAAGCCATATCTAGACGAAGTTTAGGACAAATCAAACGAGAAAGTTTCTTTATTGATAAAGTCGTCAATGTTTTTTGAGAAGTCAAAGTGCCGGATAAGTTCATTGATTCAATAAAGATTGATAATACTTCTATGATGGAATGCTTTTGCAAACCTCCCGAGTGGTTCCCATGTACGCTGACCGAGTTCCTCAAGTACCCAACCGTATGCATTCTATTTTGTGACCTTATTTTAGGCCCAATGCATAAGCAGGATCCGTTTGACAATTTGTTATTGGATGGATGGTCATCACCTCTATCTTTCCAGTGCTTCGTCCAGAAGCACGGCTAAACCAAGCGACACCTGCATTGTCGTCAATGGACTCGCACACATTTCTTAACCTAAAGATATTTCATGGAATTATTGATTCGTTCTTTTGACCTCAACGCAAATAAGTTTTGAAGGGGTAGGTAATGATAATAATCTTGTAGTGCGTATAACAGCTAAAAAAGCGTTACTGCAAGTCCTAACATATTCACTATTTGAGGGTATTTGAGAAAACAAAGAAATGAATTAGCTTCTTGCCTGTGATTCTCCAGTCCCCCCTTCTCAATCTCCCATTTTCAACAGTTTTCTAAAGTTCTCGGCCCTCCGTTTACTTCTCTACTTCCTAAATTTCGTCGACACAAGCTGCCGGTTCTTATCACCATTCTTGTAGTACAATAAAAACTTTAAAAAAATTTAAAAAAAAAAAAAAACAAGGGCAAGAATCATGGAAACGGGAAAAATATAAGAAACTGACCCTGCAATCTTCGGCTAAAGCTGAATTTTGAAGAGTCGGAGAAGAAAGCGACTGCAGTTGAGCGAAAGCTCTGCAATTGGAGAGCCATATTTCTTCACGTCCGGCGAACTCCCCTTCACACTCTCAAGTCGGAAATCCAAGGAACGGAGACGACGGGTTCGGCTTCAAAGCGAGTCTAGCTTAATTTGAGCCCCCAGACAGCATGATCAATTTCAACGGCCCAGATGCAATGGAATTTTATAATTATACATATATCATATCTCAGAGGAGAATATGGTTGATTGATTTGCATATATGCATTAATGATTTGACTGAGCCATCCATCTCCATCCTTGCTTCATTGCTTCGCTAAGAGCATCTCCAGCCAATCGACAAAGGCGCATATGTAGTTCAATTGTCCAAACGAGCTTGAAGAAGGAGGTTGTTGTTGATCTTGTTGTTGTCCAAACCTCTTTTCTAATATTCGTGCTTGTTCAGCTTGGACAAATGCACGAACAGCAGGATTTTGTATAGAACTTACGTCTTGAAACAATATTTTATTTTCTTCCTTGATTTCTTTTAAGACATAGTTCTTAGCTTGAAGCTCCATATGTTGTTGTCTCTGCGCACTTGTTCTTTTTAATTGCTTAATCAGTTCTTTATTTCCATCTTCTAGAGTTTTAATAAATGTTGACATCTCGTCATCAATTTTTCTTTTTAGCTTTGCTTTCTTCACCCCAATCGGTCGTTCAGATTGAGAGCCACGGATGCTGTATTCTTCATCATCTAAATTTAGAGAAAATGTAGATATTCCAGGAGATTGTTGTTTACCATATTCAGGAGTTAAATTTTCTGACTCTGATTAGGCATACCCAAAGCTTGACATACGTGATGCCTGCTTACCACTAGATTGACCATCTTGAAATTTCTCAAAATTTTTGATGATGTTCCATACATGATCAAACTTCCAACCTGCTTTAAACTTCTCATCTTGTGCAAGCAGTAGTTTGGCCTAATCTAACTATAAATCAATCTAATTACAATTACATAAATTGTGAAATGAAGAAGACAAATTTTAATAGCAAATATAAATACTTATAATATCTTCATTTGAAGCACCACTAATGTGTCTATTTTCAACTTGCCGAATGCATGCATGCATTTTCCTTGTTGCCTTCTCAATAGTATGAATTCGAGACTAAATAGACCTTTTTGAACGGATTTCCCAACTTTGGATTTTAGAATTATTGTACGCTTGTTCGACACGTGACCAAAAATTATCCGACGACTAATATATACCCGTGATTGGGTCTTGAGCAATTTCCATGTACATTCTGCATAAGAGCTTATCTTGCTCATGAGAATATGCAATTGATCATATTGACATGTTTTTTGGAGGCTTAATGGATTTAAAATACTGCTAAAAGGGCATGCTCTTCACCCCTATTTATATAATAATTGTAGAGATTCTCACACATTTCAAGTAGTATTAACTAGATATGACAACTCACTGAATTTGTCCTTTGAGATTCTCACACATCTCAAGTTGTATTGACTAGATATGACAACTCACTGAATTTGTCCGTTAGATTCTCACACATCTCAAGTTGTATTGACTAGATATGACAACTCATTGCACTTCTCCTACAAATAGAAGAATTTCCAAGTGATCTTAACATCACAATATCAATATACATAATAGTTTTCCATTTTCTTCTTTCTCGGATGAAGAAGATACACTCCAACTAATAAATAGTTTACAAGAAGAGGAAATGATGATTCGTCGTGCCATATCAAATAACAATATGATGATCCATTACCTACTTACACGGCCTATTAACTATGTCTCTGAAGGAGGCTCAGTTATAGGCCGCGCTTATATCAATCGTGATTGGGAGGCTGCGATCGTCGACTCTACCAAGATTACTTTTCAAGTAATCCAGTATACAATGAAACAATGTTCCAACAAAAATATTGAATGTCCAGGACATTATTCTTGCACGTGCTTGATGTAGTAAAAGCGCATGATAAATACTTTCAACAATGAATGGATCGAGCCGGTAGGCTTGGTTTATCACCTCTCTAAAAAGTAACAGTCGCCTTTCGGATGTTAGCATATGTATTACCCGCAGATGCCACAGACGAGTATATTATAATAGGAGAATCAACAACAATCGAATGCGTGAAGAGATTTTGTAGAGCAGTAGTCCAAAAATTTTCAGAGCAATACTTAAGATCACCAATAAATAATGATGTGGCTAGACTCCTTCAGATTAATGAACAACATGGTTTTCCAGGGATGTTGGGGAGTTTAGATTGTATGCATTGGAAGTGGAAAAATTATCTTACTAGGTGGGCTAGGCAGTACGCAGGACGTAGTGGATCACCTACAATTATTCTAGAAGCCGTAGCAGATTATGATCTTTGGATATGGCATGCTTACTTTGGTTTGCCAGGTACAAATAATGATATAAACGTATTAGAATCTTCTCACCTGTTCTCCAATTTTACTCAAGGCATAGCTCCTCCCTATCGTTACATCATTCAAGGAAAAGAATATAACATGGGTTATTATTTGGCTGATAATATATATCTGTTTAGTTGCTCTTGTATTTTTTTTTTCATTTTCATTTGTGTTTTAATGTAATTTTAATTGTATTAAATATATATTTGCTTATTTAGAACATATTAATATCCCAATTTTTTTATATTGAGAAAAGAAACATAATTTTTAAAATTGTAATAGGTTTAAAATTGATAAATACAAATATATGATTAAAATATTTAAAATAAAATAAGAAAAAGATTATGCTAGGAATATTCTTTTTTTATGTTAGAAAATGAAGTTCGATTGGAGTCAAGTTACTGCATTTTGGAGTTTTACTACATTTTGGAGTGGAAAATGAGTTTTTTTCGGTTGGAGATGCCCTAAGAAGGTTAAGTAAGAAGAGTGAAGGGAGAAGGGGAAGAGGAAAGAGGAAGCTACTTTTGGATCATTTTCATTCAACCATCCGATTGTGAAAGTTTCTCTGATCATGATAGATAAAATTTATTTCTATTATTTTTCTCCCTTCCAAACCCAATAAGAATGAATTTTCTCCTAATTTAGGTTATTTCCACTGTATAATTTTTTATGAGTGATATATATCATTATTCTGAGCATTTTGATAGGGGCATATTGAAATTATATTAGGTTGTTGTGTACATATATTAATTTAAATAGAATGAATAGAATAAAACCTTGTATTAAATATGTAGGAGCTAATGCATTCAAAAGTAGGCATTGAATACTTGACGTGCATAAATGTAATGTTTACAAATCTAACATGCATCTTAACATAATACATTCATTCTAATAAGCACAATAAGCGGATTTACATTTTGTGCTAATTAAATTAGAAATATATTGTGAAACCCCTTAAGTAAAAAGAAATTAAACTCTTAAACATCAAGGCGGATTTTAGTGTAATTATTAGAATTTCATTAAGAAACTTCATAGCTAAGCGTGATCATCCGTCCCAGAGAAATCCTAGGATTGATGACCTCCTGGGAAGTTCACTAACAGGAAAAAAACGTGAGGCCCTTAGGCCAAAGCGGACAATATCTCGATAGTAAGTGTTTAAACTTTTACAAATGATATCAGAGCAATACATCAGCCAAAAGATGGGAACTAAATACCACACAAAATAAAATGTTGTGCCTTGAGAACCACTTCTTGAACCCTGTATGAGACAAAGTGCTAGATGGCGAAAGTTATCACTTGAACTTGTAGGGGTCATCTCTATAATATTATCTTCTTGGTGGATAATTCTAGGATAAAGATACCGACGAGGATGTCAGTTACTTAAGTGTGTGATATTATAAAATTTCTTAAATAAAAAGAAGCTAAACTCTTAAATATCGAGGTGCCTTTTTCTGTAATGGTTGGAATTTAATTAAGAAACTCCAATTTTAAGTGTGCTCATCTCGGAGAAATCCAGGAATAAGAAATCTCCTAAAAAGTTACACAAATAGGACAAAACTATAAGGCTCTTAGGTCAAAGCGGATAATTTCTCGATAGTTAAGAGTTTGGGTTGTAACAAATAGTATCAAAGCAATTTACTAGCAGGAAGATGGGAACTAAGTACCATACAAAATAAAGTGCAACATCATGGAAACCGCCTCTTGAACCCTATATGTGACAAAGTGGTATATGATAGGAGTTACCACTTGAACTTGTAGGGGTCATCTCTAGAATCCTATTTGCCTATTGAATGATTCTGAGATAAAGATACTAATGAGGACGTCAGTTACTTACGTGGGAAAGATTGTGAAACCTCTTAAGTAAAAAGAAACCAAACTCTTAAACACTGAAGTACATTTTGGTGAAATTTTTGACTTTTTTTTAAAGAAACTCCATAGTCAAGCATGCTCATCGATGATAAATCCTAGAATGGGTGACCTCCTAAAAAGTTATGCCAAGAGGACAAAATCATGAGGCTCTTTAAACCAAAGTGAATAATATCTCAATAGTTAAGAGTTTGGATTATTACAAATTGGGGAGATTATGAAATCTCTTAAGTAAAAATAAGCTAAACTCTTAAATATCGAGGTGCATTTTGGTAAAATTGTTAGAAACTCATTAAGAAACTTAATAGTTAGGCGTGGTCATCTCAAAAAAATCTTGGGATGGATAACCTCTTGGTAAGTTACACCACCAGGACAAAATCATAAAACCCTTAGGAGAATGTGAATAATATCTCAATAGTTAAGAATTTGGACTATTATAAATGGTATTAGAGCAATACATCAGCAGGAAGATAGAAACTAAGTGTCATATAGGACAAAGTGCTATGCCATGGGAGCTACCTCTTGAATCCTGTATGGGATAAAGTGTTACATGGCGGTAGTCACCACTTGAACTTGTAGAGGTAATCTCTAGAATCTTAAATATGGTGGATGATTTTGGGATAAAGATACTAACGGGGAGGATGTTAGTTACTTAAATGATGGAGATTATGAACCCCCTTTAGTATTAAGAGTTTTGGTTGTTACATATATAATGATTACTATTATGCAGGGTTTTAAAATCAGACCAGACCGGACTAGCTTGTTCAGTATGAAAACTGGTTTGTATCAAATCGAAATGAATTTTCTCCCAAACCTGATAAGAATGTATTTTCTCCTAATTTAGGTTATTTCCACCATATAACTTTTAATATGTGATATATATTATTATTTTGAGTATTTTGATATAGGC